TTAATGAAGAAAAGAGATTTAGTACTGACGAATGAATGTTATAATCATAATGACGTTCTTTGAAACCAATATACTGAAATTATTATATAAGTTCCGATATATTTTCAGCAATGCTTTGTACTTGAAACATTGAGTCTGGAACTTAGACAGGTGTTTAGATTGGGGTGTATGGACAGCGTTGTAAGTAAATGTTCCTAGAAAAAATAGTTTTGAAGAAACAAGTTGATGCAACAGCAAATTTCATATTTAGTAATGTTTTTCTACACAATATATATATATATAGGACAGCCTGGTTATATTTTAAGAAACGAAAAACATCTAAAAATCTTTTGGAACAAAACAATTGGTTATGTTAATTTTCTTTTTAAAAGTTGCATTAAGATGACGTTGGAAGATCGAAAATTCTATCAGCTTCTCAATTAATTTTATTTAAAAAAAAATACATTCAACTCGTAACCAAAGATGCAAATAAACTACATAATTTTTTATAAGTTATTTCGATTTTAGCAGAGAAATTGTATATTGGAACTCAAAATGCATCTCGCGATAAAAACATTTCGGGTTTGTGACTTCGCTTATTCAACAGGAGGGACATTTAGAGCTTCAAATCATTCTACGATCCTGCACCCGCCCACTGCAGTAGATTTTCTCAATATATTATTTGTATTTTCCTATCATCGATGTTTAACAATGCATATGTTAAATCATCGACAATCTTAAAAAATACAGATTATTATCCACGCTTAGCAGAGGGGCGTAAAGGGGGGGGGGGGGGGTATCTGCACGGAAGAACGCGAAATAAAATTGCCATTTCACGATGAACGAACAATTAAAAATTTCTTGCACGTTGATCTTTTTACCGATTTCACGAAACACGGTGAATAACGAACCTTTTGTACGGCTGCACGTGAAATAAAAATGGCAAAACACGTTGCACGAAAATAATCCTTTACCACCCTCTTAGCATAATAACAAGACTTGTAAGCGAAGCATGGCCGCATGATATGTATTTAAATCTGGTTTGCTTTTTCAACTTCTAGCAAGGAATTCCTCTACAAACAGTGCCAGGGACTGTTTTCAACTCTCGTCTGGTTTACCAAATTATAAGCCTGATATCTTAGATTCATTTTTTTAATCAATTAGTCGATGCCACTGCTGGTGTACGTTTCGTCCCAGAGGTTTCACCAGTTCAGTAGGCAGCACTTTTGTGTTGACATGAAATATCATTTATATGTTCATTATCTTTAAATTTAATGATAGAAAATTGTTGAATTATTGAAAACACTGAGGTTATTCTATACCCAGGCAATAATTGGCTAACCACTTTTTGTGAATTTTTCTGTTTTCAATACTCTGCAATTTTGAGTTTAATTTGGCCATCCAACTGTAATGACATGTTGAAACCTGGTATCTTTGATGGCTATTTGCCTATATGTTTAAGGCCTAGGTATGACTTTGAACTGAAAGGAAAAACACATTATTCCTTTGCTTTTTTTTATCAAATGTGTATTAAGATTTTGTGTCACGAAATGTTACACCATATCCTCCTTTATTCCGTTTCGATTTAGGCTCTAGTTCTAGTTTTTTTTTCATAATCTGTAACGAATGATTTATTGACCTATTTTTCTCCTCGTAGAGAGAGAAATAAATAGTATTCATTAATTTAAACTACATTATCGAAAGTAGAGTTTGTCAAAATGAAAGACTTGAATTTGGCATAGTGTTAAGGGGGGAAAGATCCTAGGGTGGGAAAGAAACAAACCAGTCGAAGAAAACACCATTAACAAAAGAAAAACTATAAAAAGACAAACAACAATTCACCAAACACTAAAACAAAGAAAAATAAAGATTGCGCAACACAAACCCCGTCAAAAAATTAATTTGCTCTGGATAAGTCAGCAGCTTCTACTCAACTAGTAACATCCGCCATGTTACTCTTGTTAAAATACGTTAGTGAGTCATATCTGAATATAAGGTATTACATAACAGCGGATAAGTAAATGTCTCTAGTCTAACAGTAAGACATAACTATATCAACTTGACGCTTATGTGAAAAATTGATATGAAAACACGCTTTTCCAATAGATGGCCAAAAACTAGACAAGATTGGAAAGAGATGCACTTTCAGTTAGTTATAAATAGTACTTAATACAACAATGAAAACTAAGGCAACACTATACTCCTTTAAAATCGATGATTTGTTGTCTTGTTGACCATGTAGCTTTGACTGGAAAAAGTAAAAATTCAGCAAAGAAAAGTAGATATTATTTCACGTGAAAACTAGTTGGATATTATACATTTTCAACTTTTATATGTTGAATCAAAGATTAAAATCGGAATCACCAATAAACATAACTGCGACCGTTACTAAAAATAAATGAATGTTATCATTCATTTACTACCAGTATTTCTTGACCAAAAATTATTTGTATTTTTTCTATGTTTGTCTAGATTGATGTTTAGCAGTATTATAATTTTGTTCTGAAAGATGTTCAGAGGGTTTTTTTTTTTTTGGGGTCTTCGACTTTAATTTGCCTGATTTTAATTTCAGTTATGCAGTAAGCTAAAGGTATCGACAGATCACATTTTCGGCAAGAGACAACAGTTACAACTGAATGGTGCTTGCTGTGACAAACCCCTTTGTAATAGAAATGCACCCACAACGACGACACCTACTTATAGGATAACGTCAACCTCAGCTTCGTCTACCGGTAAACACTCTGTGATGTAAAACAATCAAAAAGACAAACCATGTAATCTGTCCTTGGGAACGTAAAGGATTGTATGTAATTTATTGTTCGTATCCAAAAATGAAAATAACTTCACGTAATTGTGGGCTAGAATTTGCAATGTTTGGTACGTTGTTTAAAAAATAATTCATGCATGCAAGCCATAGATTTGTTGGAACTGGGCCATGTGAAAATTTCCGACAAATCTATAGCTTGCATGAATTATTTCGATTCTAAAAGGACAATTACGGTAATTTGAAAAACTGAAGCGAAGGTAAGACTGCCGAGTGTATGGCTGTTCTTTTTTACCCCCTGTAAGAAAAAACTACAAATTTCAAATAAATCTAAGGCTCGCATGAATTATTTCTTAAATAACCACTAGAAAAATGTGTTCAATCTTTATAATTCTTAACCCAAACATTTTGTTTCGTTGGCTATATCTTCTGTCAAATCCACAGTTGACATGTCGTAACTAAGGAGTGAGCCGCCATGTTGACTTTCTGAAATCCATCAATGTGCGAATGACGAGATAGAATAGAAAATGAAACAACCCCTACCTCAAAACTCCATTTTAATGCGATATTATCCGAATTTAGAGCGTACACGTAACGTAATAATCTTCAACTTGAAAGTTTTCATTCGTACGGCGTCATGTTTTGACATGACGTTAATGCGCCAAGATCATTCATGAAATTTTGCGGAATTTTATTTCATTTTGATTTTATACATTTTTTAAAGAACTTATGCATTAATTCTTTTTGTTATACATTAGAATAGGAATAACGGTTATGTAGTTTCTTTTTCAATTTCAATTTGAACACTACGAAATCCACATAGTGTGTGCACATAGGTTACGATACATGTGGATTTACGTGGAAGGTAAATAGTAACAGCCATTGATATGTACATCTCTGAGTCTGCGCTAAGTACAGATATATTGAGAATTTTTAACACGCTGTTGTTTACAAACGAAAGAAGCACGTCATATTAGAATAACCAATCACAACGTTTTGGTAACGTTTTGAAAATATTACAAACAACTTTAATTATCCTGGATTGTGAATGGTTGATAGCCATTGTATTTTTTCTTGTTTTTTCTTTAATCATATGGATTTTGTACATATTCAACTTCACCGGAGTATATGCACATGGTATCTCATTTTTACAATCTGCGGTGCTATTTTTCCAAAATATATACGTCTTTTTAGATTTCACGGAGACGATGGATCATCTGTGCGCTTTATTAAATGCCGCTGTTGTGTTAACGTCTAGTGATAAAAAAGGACATTTTAAAATTTACTTTCGAAAGTTAACCTTAGCATCTTTATTAATATTCGATGTAATTAAACAGACAAAAAAAAAGCATAATAAAAATACCGAACTCCAAGGTTAATTAAAAACTGACAAAATTAAACGTTAGCATTATCAACCAACGGATAACAATTGTCATATTCCTGACTTGGTACAGGCATTTTGGGAAGGAAGTGATGGGTTAAACCTGGTTCTATAGCTAGCTAATTCATCGACTTGTATGACCGTTGTTTATAGTTCCGTTATACTGACAAAATTGGGTGAGCAACCCAAACAGAGATAATAGGTTAATGTGACAATAGTTGGATCGAGCAGCTAAAACTGTGTAAACATACATCACCTAGCGGCTCGGGAAATTATACCTTCATTCCGCGGGTATTTTTTTTAGAGTACCTCTACTGAATATGATATCAGTGCAATCAACATTGCATATTGGTGTCAGTCCATAAGAAAACCAAATGAATATTGTATTAAAAGAAAAATGAACAGTGTTGGGTTTTGAATTTGCAACAATGCTCACATTTTCAGTTGTTTCTTATGTACAAACGATTGAAAAGGTCTGTCCAATAATTTGCCGTTTCAGAATTTAAAGAATTGTGAGTTATTGTTGAATTTCTTTTTTTTTAAAGAAACCGTCTTTCAAGAAAGAGGAATGTCTTTTTTTCTTTTTAATATCTGTGCCATTAAAAGTAAAATTATGTGCGTATTCAAAATTAATGCCCTGTGACAATTTGGTATAATTACGGATATCTTGGTAAGAAGTGTCGGTGCGAAATATGATCGGTAAATATATAACTATGCACGGTATTACTTATAAAAACAGTGTGATATGCGTTGCGCACATTTTCCGTATCTCATAAGTATATTATTTAAGAAAAAACATTTCATGACAAATATTTAAAGGGATGATTTATGAAAGCATAGAAAATAATATATAATGTTCTAAATTGGTCTTTTTGCAGCATGCCATCAAACCTTGAAGTCATGTCCACCAGAATTCCACGGATACAACAGCTCTTGCTTCTACGCTGGATCAGTTGAAATGACTTGGTATCAAGCTAAGGTTATTTAGTGTTCTTTACAATCTATTTGTTACTAGGAGAATATTTTAACACAAGACGTCCAAATAAGTCTAAACGCTTAGTTATAGGAACTGATACTGGTCGGAAACTGATTTTGAATTTGTTGTGGAAAAATATTTCAATTAACAGGACATATGTGTTAGTATTTATTTCAGTGTTATAAGACTATTCAAACAGTGTAGCACTTGTGATGATTTAGTTATTGTATTTTTTATTTGGGATGTTTAAACTAACCCAGCGTGACTGCTATGTGGATTCTAAAGTCCAAATATAAACCATTATTGGAATCGGAGAACTTTAAACTGCCTTTTCTCTTTTGCATTTCGAATATCATACGATTCGCAAGTCATATCTAACGTTATGTGTTAAGACATGAATGACATTATTTCCGAATGATGATAATGGCGTCAATCTGCTACAGCATTAAAACTCTTATTACATCTATCATAATTTAACACATACAAAATATAGATGTAAATTTTATAAAAAAACTGAGTTCTTATAATTATAGAAGAATGTGTGTTGCTTTCTCCAATTGCTACAATTGAAATGTTTGAAACATATAAGAACAAAATATATATTTGATTTGTAGAAATTCTGCATAAATAAATGTGCAAAACTAGCAGATTTTGAATCCATGAAAGAATTAATCGATGTATCTAATATACGTCTTCACTCGTCTGGTATTCATCACGGAATTCCTAGTAAGTAAAGATTAAAGGAGTTTATTTTATATGTGTCGAGAACGTAGCTCGAGTTCCCATAAAAAATTACTGGTCGTATGTATACCTTATTAGGTCACTGACCGCCTGGGTAATCATATATTTCATAGCTTACTATGCGGTATGGGTGTTTCTCGTTGTTGAAGGCCGTATGGTGACCTATAGTTGTTAAAGTCTACGTCATTTGATCTCCGGTAGATAGTTGTCTCATTGGCAATCATATCACATCTTACTATTTCCATGTCATATCCTACCAATTATCTGACACTTGTAACGAAACAGGACTTTCTATTACAAACACTGAACATTTAACGGATGCCGTCTTATATCGGGCAATGCCAAGAACGCCTTATATCAAATACGGTTCAACGGGTTGGTCAGCATGTTACGTCGCACAACCAATTGAATTCTCTTAAATCTATAGAAGGTAATATGATAAAAGGAGATGTTGGTAAAACGGCTTTGATAAAAAAAGAACCATTGAATACAATGAAACCACCAAAAAAGTCTCACAAAGTGTTTATATTTTCATCCATTATTGATGTAATATATACCGCCAAATAAAGCAGAATCAGTCGAAGTCTAGTAACCATGTGCGATGCTCTTATAGTCATGATATTGCCGTAGTTAATTTAAAAAAAAAACTATTATACTAATTATTGTTTAAATAGGGATGAACCAATGTTTAATTCATCCTCTTTTTTATTGTTTAACAATGCATTGTTCTGAAAAGATCTCTGTTTTTGTTTTAAATTATACAGTCACTTATCAATTCAGTTATATTACAGTATTTATGTTCTGGACCGATGGATGGGCTGAGGGTCATAGTAAAAACTGGACATGGTCATCAACTGGATCCACTATAAATGCAGAGTTGACCCAACAACTTATAGTTATGGACACGTTTCTAGATCCTAACACTTGTTTGTGGATATATAAACATGTTGGGCCATTCCATACTAGAGAATCATATTGTAGTGACATGCATAATCCTTTGTGTGAAGTGAAAATAAATCCTGAATAGCATTTCGTAACAGATTTAATGAAATACAGCGTTCTATGCAAAACAAGTTGTTATGTTTTATCCAGAAAATTGTATTATTTTAAAACAGAAATCAATACATGGGTGCTTACTTATTGACAGTAGAACTTTAAGTAGTATAAAAATATATATTTGTTAACAAAGTAGTATCAATATTTTTTATTCAAAACTTTCATCAGTATCTCTACGTGATAACGATATCATTCCACCAGTGGCGAAGAGTTATTCTAAAATAATCCTTATCGTGAACGTTCAATTTTAAAAAATTAAGAGCCAATGCTATATGAATACTCTTGTATAAAAACTTAATCTATTTTCAAAGGTACAAATGAGAAAACGTTTTAAAAACTGTATATGTATCTAAAAGAAACGAAGTTCTTATATTTTAGTGATCTCGAAGTTGTGAATGTTTTGAATACCAAACATATAATATGATGTTGAACAAAATAAGTACTCTTCATTTAAATTCTTTATCGTTCATAAAAAATTTGGAATGCCTCAATAAAGATTTTTTAAATAGCAGAAAATTATGTTTTCCTATATATTCACGTGCATCTTTCACAATGTTGGTGACGTTTTCTGATTTCATGTATACATGTGATCAAAAATAGGCTTTAAATAAGAATTATTATTAAGGTTATAAAATAAATGGAATAAAAAATTCTATTTTACATATTCTAAAGTCATCTAACATATTCTAGTTATTATATTTTTTCATTTCCTTTATATGTATGGTCATGTATGTTATGGTTATTTTTGTTAATTTCATACACATGCGTAATCATTTACTTTTAAGTCTGTCAACTATGGGTTGTTTATCGATTAAAGGAAAGTAGTTGGATGAATGTTATATGTCCAGTGCAAATATTTAATGCACTCTCGGGACTAGAACATATACCTTTATATATATGAATATCAAACTTGCCTTGTAAAAGTGAAATAACAAAATTACCGAACTCCAACGAAATTCAAAACGGTAAGTCCCTTATCAAATGGCAAAATAAAAAGCTCAAACACATCAAACGAATGGAAAACAACTGTCATTTTCCTGACTTTGTACAGTCATTTCCTTATGTAGAAAATGGTAGGTTCAACCTGGTTTTATAGCTAGCTAAACCTCTCCGACTTGTATAAGAGTCGTATAGAATTCCATTATATTGACAACAATGTGTGAGCAAGAAATAATAGGTAAAAATGTCCAAAAATGGGGTACATCGGTCAACATTGTGTTATAATTTAATGGACAGATACGCTTAGTCGTATTTTCAGCATGTTAGTTCGCAAGGTTACAGCTCACACATCCGACACTCGAGTCGAGCAAACTACCCGAAACCATCGAGATGGTTTGCGTCCATTTGATACAATTATTCACAAATTTACCACACTGCGTTAAAATTGGGTTTTTTTTCACCTCTGATGTAACATAAGTTTCTTATATATGAAATCCGATTTAATTGAATACATGTACAAATATTAAAAGGTGACAAGAAATTGTTGGAGCCAGTGTATCAATTAAACAAAAACGATGCATTTGTCTTTAATTTGTCAGGAAGATAGACATTGAAGTATGAGATATATGAATAGAAGTCAGCATTTCAAAAACATCCGGATAAAAGTATCTAACCAGAAACATCAATTTAAAACGCCCCAAAACAACGTTTTCAGATATGTGTTTATCAAAATATGTGTATAGCGCATTGAAAATGGATTTTAATTTACTGATTGTGTAGTTCAAGAGTATTTCATTTGATTTTTAATGGTTTGTAATTGATATAAGTTGCATTTCAGTATTTGCTTAAACATGTATATATAGTTGCGTAATTTGATGTCATTTCTTTGCCGGCAAGTACATATATGGTAAGGATTTTTTTTACGTTTTCGCTTGATTTTTCATCGTTGCAAATTCTTTATGCCTAATTAAATTTTCATTGAAAATAAGGAGACAGTGGTGGATCCAGGGGATGGGGTGGGGTTCCGGGGGTTGGAACCCTCTTTTTTTACGGTCAATGCTTTTGAATGGGAACATATGGTTGGAACCCCTCTTTTATCCTGGGTTAAAATAAAAAATTGGCTAAATCCGCCCTGGGAGATGATAAATGATTACCACTGATTGAGACAACTATTCAGCGAGGATGTGTGAACAACTAATGTGCAAATGGTGTTTCAGACTTAACATGTGTTGAATTTTTGAAATTGTTTTGCACTCTTTTTTTGTTCTTCCGCAATTAAAAGAAAACACCTTCTCAAATGCATAATTAATGAATAATGTCTGTCATGGGTTACAAAAAAACTAGTATGTGTTGTTTGCAATTGGTGTTCGCGAATCTTGACACCGAGCATATTGAGTATACACTATTACTGTTATTTATACATGTTATAACTGAGTCACACATGCATGCAACAGTAAATAATCAGTTGGTAATCACGAGTCTGTTTGACGGACTACCGCAAACCAGAACAAGTAGCAAGGAATCTGGTAAATTGACACACATAATGAAATCATGATATGATCTTAGGAGGCATCAATGTTATTATAATCATGTTGTTTTTTGGGTTTTTTTTTTCATTCTGCGAAATATATATTTGTAAACGCAGAATTCTACTATAAAAGTTGTAAGGATTAAGGAATTTGCCCTCGGTGTCTTGAAATAAGTTAACGGACTGACAAAGGCGACAACTACGAACACAAAGTGATAGCAATCTCTAACACATTGGACTATAAACTAAAATTATTTCTCAACAAAATTTCCGACAAAACTTTCCAGTTAATCGCTCACGGTTTTTGAGGGACATTTCTCTGTTAAAAAATATCTGTCTAATTTTCTTACTACTGTATCTGTATCGTTACGTCGAAGGTACCAATTCTGGCTTTAACTCGACGGGAGAGAGAGCGCCTATTGACGGCGTTGGAGAGCTGTTTTGAAGCTCTCAACTGACTTGGCGCACACTACGTCTTCTTCCAGTTGGTTCCAATGAATCACAGTTTTGACGAAGAATGAGTTCTTAAATTGCTCAGTTTTACAGTTTGTTGTATCAATTGCCTTTAAGTTGTTCTTTATCGAGTTGTTAACTATATTAGTGCTTTCAAAGTCTACAAAGCGTGTAGGCTTGATGATCCTTTTGGTTTTGCTTTTTAACAAAAAATCGTCAGGTTTGATAGCTGGGACCAAACCCTCAACCACTTTGTATAGAAATACCAGTCTTTGACTTGTTCTTCTGGACTGCAGGTTTTCAAGTTCCAGTACGGTAAGCATTTTGGTGACCGATCCTTCTTCTCTGGATTTATAATCCCCTGTGATGAATCGTGCTGCTCTTCGTTGGATCCTTCCTAATTGGTTGATGTTGTTTGATGTATATGGGTCCCATACAATTGCCCCATATTCCATCGTAGATCTCACCGATGAGATGTATGCTGTTTTCTTACAGTCTTTTGGGCAGAATCTTAGGTTGCGTATTAGAAAGCCTAGTGTCGAATTTGCTTTCTTGGCTACATTTGAAATGTGGGTGGTCCATTCTAGATCTTCTGATATCTGTAGCCCCAAGTATGGATTGTGCTGGACTTGTTGGAGTATGTGTCCATCGAGGGTATAGAATTTCTGGCTTTTGTTCTTAATGCTCAGGATGTAACATTTCTTTGCGTTAAAGCGCATACCCCAGTCTTGTGGCCACTGATTTTTCTAGGCTAACCAGATCTCAATTTACTATTAGGTTTGGCTATCTGTATCTGTATCTGTATAAGGAATTCAGTCCTTCAAATGCGCACTTTTTGAGAATTAATCAAAAGTTCAAGTCTATATTTACAAAACTATATTTACACAGAATTGCGATGTAAATTAAAAAGAATAACCCCATTGGGTGCCATGTTGGTGACATGAGTGGTAGACCCTTTCGTTTATCGAACAGAAAGGCCTTTAGTAGTTCATTTCTTTGGATAGCAGAATTTCCTACATGATTGTATACTCTTCTATGTGCCTGGGATCGTGTAGATGGCACATTTAAATCAGATCAGTGAAGTTTTAATTTTTTCAGTATAACATTTGTGAGGAAAATTCTTCAAACATTCAGAACCAATTTTTAAAAGGTCCATTTGTTTTGTCTTTTTCCATTAAAACTTGTTATTAATGATTTTAGTATGATGTTAAAGAGTAAATACCAAATAGTGACAAAGTGCATTTTAATAACATTTTTCCAGAAAGAGTCATTGAAAAAGCACTTTTACTAAAAAAAAATCAAACTATTATTGTTTTTGATGATAGTTTATTTTTCATTGAAAAAATTCATTTCCTGTATTAAATTATTTATGTACATGTATATGTATTGAACGATTCATGTATAAAGTCCCAGCTAACACTGACTCTTTTGTCAGGTGAGCAAAAAAACAATTTTGCGGAATGATGTCATCGTCATCCGGCTACGGTTAATTTTAGGTTGATGTACTGGTACCAAATTATTGTTATCTGTTTTAGAGTCAGAAGAAAGTAGAAATCATCTGTTTTGACATAATAACATCATTGTTTAATTATCGATAAAAACAACTGTGCGTTCTTTTTATTGAGTAGACACAGGTAGAATGCTGAACTTTTCTTGATAACTTCTAGTGACCGAAATTATTTAGTTAAAAGACCATTTGCAGGTTGAAGTTGATGACCTCTAACGAACCGGTACCTCAAATGACCGAATAACACCGTTATCATCCAAATAACACTTGTAATGACCGAATAACACTTGTAATGACCGAATAACACTTGAAATTTTAATATTAGCACATATTGGTGACTTTTAAACATTGATTAATAAATAAAAGTATATTGTTAATGTATTTTATAACTTAAAAATGATTTATAAAAAGCAGGTAAGTTCATAAAGATTATTTTAAATATAGTGTGTACATGATATACTACATCCAACATGGTGACCAAGGAAATCACAATGGTCGCCATGTTGGATGTTGCCTTCTGTAAATCATTTTTAAGTTATAAAATACACTTATAATATAATATTATTTAATAATCAATGTTTAAAAGTCACCAATATGTACTAATATTAAAATTTCAAGTGTTATTCGGTCATTACAAGTGTTATTTGGATAATAACGGTGTTATTCGGTCATTCGTGTTACCCCTAACGAACCTCCAATTTATATTTATTTTGAATAAGTGCACAGGGGAATTGAGCAGTCTTAAGCATGTTCAGTCAAATACCTCATTTCTGCCAATTTAAAAAACTTTCATTGGACTATAGATAATAAAACATGTTGAAATCTAACTTAATTTTCTCCTACGACACGTAAATACTGAGCACGCAGGTTGACGTTTGCACAGCAGTATCTGCGTTATGGATTTCCACGGCAGATCAATATTATAGATGTAGCTGTTGAATAATCCCTAATCAGTCTTGCATATTCTAAGCCCTTCAGAGTGAAAATTTCATATCTTCTCTCAATTATAAAATGGTTACCTAGAACTGTAAATCTGTCGTCTCATGCTGATAAAGGGACCGGTACCTCGAATGACCAAATAACACCGTTATTATCCAAATAACACTTGAAATTTTAATCGTAGCACATATTGGTGACATTTAAACATTGATTGAATATATCAGCCAAACTTATTTAGTGGTAGATTTTCATTGAATTTGGCTGTGACATGCAATATTTGGTTCTTAAAATGATATAAGTTGACCTTAGATGAATTTAGTTATTTTTTAGGTAACATTTAGGTCATAAAGCTCTTCATGTGTTTTGGTGTTGTACAAATGTACAGCCTTGGCTTTAAATGTTTTGGTTTGAGAGTTCCTGATAAAGGGTTAATCCATAAATTAAAAGGGATTCAGACGCACTACATTAATCAAGTGTTATTTTAATTTATTTTTGAACTTGTTCATACCATAGATTTCCTTAACAGAACACAGAAGCCTGATATTTAGTGGTTGTATTTGGTTGACACCTGCCAAATTATTTTTTTTTTCATTCATTGTTTTTGGCATAAATATGGCATAGTAATTATTTTAAAATTTAAAAAAAAAATCAACATGATTCTTTGGCACAGGATTGAGACAAAAGTTATAATGGTTCAAGACTATATCATGTATATAATTCTCTTCAAAAAATAGAGGTTCAAACCTCCCCTATCCTCAACATATTCCACTGGACAAGAAGAAACTAGTAGTTTTCAATCACAAGAATGCTGGTTTTTATGTTTTTATGCCCTTACCTTAGGCAAAGGGGGCATTAAGTCTTTCCCTTGACCCTTCCGTCTGTCCCATTTTCGTTTCCGCACTATTTAAGTTTTCCTCATCCAAATGTTATGAAACTCATACACAATGCTAAGAACCAATACTTGCAGAGTTAGAATTTAGGCAGTGAGTCACTTATGATTTTAGAGTCATGCCCCTTTTTAACTAGGAAAATTGCAAAGCTTGAGCGGGGATGTCCTCAGACACAGTCTTCTTATATAATTACTCTAAATATCAGCACAACAATGTTAAATCTGCAAATTTGCAGAAGCAAATTTTTGTTCTTCCCTTGCCGGGACTCGAACTCATGCTGTTGGGATATCGTGACAACACCGCCTGCACTGTGTCCAGCGCTCTAGACCACCCGCCCACCTAGACTGAACTAAGAATTCAGCTTTTGGTGGCCTAGTGTGACCTTTCCCCGTCAGTAGAATCTAGAGTTGTTACACAGTACATGATATATATATATATCAAAAATTGTAAAAAATGCAAATAGTGCAAAGTTACACAAAGACAATATCACTCCATCTGTCAAAAAAAGCAGGGATTCTAACTGTGGAATTTGTGTTAATCTTTTGGAAGAGGAAGTGTGTGAATTTAAATCAGGGCAGATGTTCGATATCAAAAACTCTATTACATGTGCATAGGGAAATATAATTTATGCAATTAAATGTCATGAATGTAACGGATGCAAAAAAGATTATATTAGCCAAACAGGACAAACATTAAGTAAAAGATTTACAAGTCACTGTGGTCAGCAGTCAGTGTCCATAAAATAAATTTCGAAAATACTATACATTTTTTTTTATTTATAGATAAAAATTAATATATATAAAAAAAGATAATTAATACATGTACCTTGAATACTTGTGATTTATTTTTGTGTCTAGTTTGACCCCTAAACCCAACTATTGACTTGTATATTTCTTGTCACACTCTGTACACTGGTAGCAGGCCTAGGTTGTGTTGAGTTGGCAAGGTTGAGAGGTAGTTACAGTCATAGATTTTTTGGCAGGTTTTGGGTCAAACTCTTCATCTGACAACTCTGTTGCCCTTGTGTCTTCATTTCTTCCTCTTTAGCTGTCAGGGAAAAATGACTAAAACTCTGAAATGTGGTTACATTGTGGAGACAGAAACTTTTTAGTTGCTAGCTATAGACAAGTCTGCTTTGAAATGCCAATGACTGAAATGTTAATTGTGATTTAAGTCATGAAAAAAAATTGTACAGGCGTTTCATTGAGATGGTTTTTTTTTTTTTAATTACCATTAATGTATTATGGAATTTCAGTGGAGGGAGGTGGGGTGGCTTGATTGCCATTAATGTATTATGGAATTTCAGTGGGCTATCAGAAAGTTGTGTGTAATCAAACTTTGGTAAAAAAGAAAAACGTTATGACTGTATTGTATATTTATGCAGATATTTTGGTAATTTTGTTTTGTACAAGTTATATGAGTTAACCTTTAGCTGTATATACAATGTAATATCATTTACGTACATGTACCATTTGTGTCCTAGATGCCTTTTGTCATGTTTGTTTTATATTTGACCTAATCATTCATGTAAAGAGTTAACATTTATATTTTTATGATATTCATGTCAAGGATGTTTTTATGCATGTATTAAATGAATGATTATTTATTTTTCAGTCTGCTGTTTTCCTTAGAACAAGGATCCCTGTTAGTCTACCATGACAACAAAGTCAACAGGAAATGAATTGTAAGTATTATCTGTGAGTGGTCTTGACCATTAGTTTCCTTGTGACTTCTGCCAGATCAGATTTGAGCAAATATGACAGAAGTGTGGTGGGGAGGGGGGTTTAATTTTCATTCATGTTGAGCATTTTTTGTACCCACAATATTGTATGTAGGTGGATACTTCTTTATTTATAACAATGTATAAGCTGCCGTAATTTCATTTTGATTATATGAATGAAACATTAACTCAAGCACATGTTAAAAATTATATGTGTCTTGAAGCCTTATATATATGCTATTACATATACACATAAATAGTCCGTTCTGTGGAGTCTTGGTTACTTTTTCAAAATGAGGTAGTCACCTGGATTAACTTAATTATGGTATTTGAGCATTCTTTCAAATGTCCACTTGACATGCTTGGAAATTTTGTATTTCAAATTTTTAAAGAGTCAATTTTTGTCACTATTGTCAACCCTATAAATGATTTTACTTTATTTATCACAGAATTTAACAAAATTTTTGAATACATCAGTCAGGAGACTTACTTAAATGAGTGATTTTCTAAATCACTGATTCAAGTAACATTATGTCCATAAAGGTTGGAAGTAAGAGTTGTCCTTCTTTAATAATCACCTATTTAAGTAGTACAAATTAATCACTAGACTAAGTGATTTAATTTTATTGTTGCTTTTAATATAGAATACTAATGATCCAGGGACTAATTATGTTGCTAAAATTATCAGAACCAACATCTGTGTTGATATGATGACCGGGTCATGGCAGGTGATGACCTTGTACTAAATCTAGGATAATGACATAAAAATCATTTGGTCAAGTATCATACCTCAATTTCCTTCCAAAAATCACTTCTTTAAGTATTATTTTAATAACCCCCACTAATTTCAACACCCCCGAACAGTGAAATTTTGATGGCGAACAGTAGAATTTTATTACATAATCTATAAGATAAAACCTTGAATTTTACAGGAAAAATACTCCCACTGCTGGGAAAATTCTGTTTAGAAAGTAGTTTATTATGTAAAGCCATTTTTATACGACCGCAAAAAAATTTTGCGGTTGTATATTGGTATGACGTTGGCGTCGTCGTCGTCGTCGTCCGAAGACACATTGGTTTTCGCACTCTAACTTTAGTTAAAGTGAATGGATCTCTATGAAATTTTACCAAAAGGTTCAATACCACAAAAGGAAGGTTGGGATCGATTTTGGGGGTTATGGTACCAACAGTTAAGGAATAAGGGGCCAAAAAGGGGCCAAAAATAAGCATTTTTGTAACTTCCAGACATAACTTGTGTGTTAGTGTATGGATCTCTCTGACATTGCACCACAAGGTTCCATATCACACAGGGAATGCTGGGATTGATTTTGGGGGTAATTGCTTCAAAATATTAGGAATTAGGGGACAAAAAAGGGGCAAAAAACAAATTTTTCTAGTTTCATGACAATAACTTGTGTGTAAGTGTATGGATCTTTATGAAATTGTACTACAAAGTTCCATATCACAAAGGGAAAGCTGGTTTTGAGTTTGGGGGTAATTGCCCTAAACGTTTAGGAATTTGGGGCAAAAAAGGGGCAAAAAAACAAGCATTTTTCTAGTTTCCAGACAATAACTTGTGTTCAAGTGTATGGATCTCTCTGAAATTGTACTGCAGGTACCATACCACAAAGGGAAGGCTGGGATTGAGTTTGGGGGTGATGAATCATTAGGGGATCAAAAAATTGGGGGGGGAGGATTTTTTTTTCTTTAAAATTTTCCATTTTAAATTGGTTATTTCTGATTTATATATAAAAGCAAATAATATTGATATGGTTTGAAAAGGTAAATTAAAAATTCTTAAGTTCTTAGACCACATTCATTTTGTGTCAGAAACCTGTGCTGTGTCAAATATTTAATCACAATCCAAATTCAGTGCTGTATCAAGCTTGAATGTTGTGTCCATACTTGCCCCAACTGTTCAGGGTTCGACCTCTGCGGTCGTATCAAGCTGCGCCCAGCGGAGCATTTTATTATAGTATTTTATCAACTAAAATAGAATTTGCAGCTAAATGATTGCATCAAAGGCATAAACCTTGCTGCTTAAAAGAAGCAAAAAGTTCATTTTTTTCAATGGTGCTAATGAAAAGATATTATCTAAACCTATGTGTTTAAAATTTTGGTAAAACTACAAAATCACAATTTGTGACAAAACTTCGAATTTGCTACTTAAATAAGTGATTTAAAATCACTTATTTCAATAAGTCCCCTGACTGTACATGATATGATTTTGTTCCATTAGGAGTAAATATTAATGTCCAACATGCTTTATTGTAATTGTTTGGTGTGTCTGTGAATAAAAGGATCTGTGGAGTATGGGTCAGTGAGACAGCAACCCAACAACACAATAAAAGAAAAAAAGACATACAAGATATCAACATGTGAAGTTCAACAATACTGGTTTCACAGAGTAGGTTCAGTTGTGTAGCAAATCTCTACATCACACTTTATTTATTTGAAATTGGATTGACAAATCCTTATTGAATATCCAAAATTGGAGATTGGCATATCATCCATCTGTTTACTTTAAAATTATGGCACAGATTTTCTGGATGAAATGGTATGATGGAGAGAATTGCTTGTTGACAGCAACTACATGTACTTTATGACTAGTAGGCAAGTGTCAATACAATATTTCAATCTCTAAATGCTCCAGTTACTATGAGTTATACACCACTAAAAATATGCAATTGATTCCTTAGTAGAGAACCAATAATGAGAGTAAAAAGAATTGAAAATCCCAATATGCAACAAGTTTGATTTATTACTGAAGAAAATTCTAAGTTTCTTGTGATTGTTTGAACAGTCATAGTGCAAGTTTTAACTAGAAGATGATACATGCAGACAGAAAGAATCTTTAAATGAAATCTCTTGGATCGGTCATTTGTAAAATTCATGTTAATAAACATGATAAATACAAAAAATCTAGAAGTATGCTGATCTGGTAAGTTTTGTGAAAAAATTTTTTGTGCAGACGACAGAACAAGTTATATGTCTAGGTTAAACTAGTACATGAGGAGGTACTTGTAAATTATATACTCTGCTCTTCATGTAATTAAACATTATTATTTTTTCAGTAATATAGGAGTTAAGTTTGGTAATGCAGCTGTTGCTGGTATTACTGGTGTTACAATAAACTTTCCAGTAGATCTGTGTAAAACTAGACTTCAGAATGCAGAAACAGGGCCAAATGGGGAGAAAATTTACAAAAGCTTGTAAGTATTTTAAACATAACTTTATATTTCAGCCACCATTCTGGCTCTATCATCTATGCACCATTCTGGATTTTAAGATGGGACATAATTCTGAAATAAATGCATATAATCAAGCTAAAGATGTGGGAAAAGACTGACAAGAAGTATAAAATACCTTTTTTATTGTGTACCACCATCTTCATAACTGTAATTCACCATTAAATGAAAAAAAATATTAGTTTTAAGGTAAAGCTGTATATTCAATTTTGATTAAGTACACTTACCTACGACAATCAGTGCTTTCTTTTCATAGACTGGCTGAGAACTATTTTACAAGTGATAATTCCTCCGGATCCATCATGATCACAATTTTTGTATTTCAAATGTAGTCCATAGGAGGAAATAATTTTGAATATTCTTGTTGCATTGTGTTTGTTTTATTCCAAAAATTCCTTGTGAGCAATACAAACTTGTTGGAGCCTCTATGTAATTTTTTATGCCCCCGCCGTAGCGGAGGGGGCATTAAGTTTTTATACGGCCGCAAAAAAATTTTTGTGGTCGTATATTGGTATGTCGTCGTCGTCATCGTCCGAAGACACATTGGTTTTCGCACTCTAACTTTAGTTTAAGTGAATGGATCTCTATGAAATTTTACCACAAGGTTCAATACCACAAAAGGAAGGTTGATTTTGGGGGTTATGGTACCAACAGTAAAGGAATTAGGGGCCAAAAAGGGGCCAAAAATAAGCATTTCTGTAATTTCCAGACATAACTTGTGTGTTAGTGTATGGATCTCTCTGACATTGTACCACAAGGTTCCATATCACAAAAGGAATGCTGGGATTGATTTTGGGGGTAATTGCCTCAAAATTTTAGGAATTAGGGGCCAAAAAAGGGGCAAAAAACAAGCATTTTTCTAGTTTCATGACAATAACTTGTGTGTAAGTGTATGGATCTTTCTGAAATTGTACTACAAGGTTCCATATCACAAAGGGAAAGCTGGAATTGAGTTTGGGGGTAATTGCCGAAACGTTTAGGAATTGGGGGGCCAAAAAGGGGCCAAAAATAAGCATTTTTCTAGTTTCCAGACAATAACTTGTGTTCAAGTGTATGGATCTCTCTGAAATTGTACTGCAAGGTACCATACCACAAAGGGAAGGCTTGGATTGATGATGGGGGTAATTGCCTCAATATTTTAGGAATTAGGGGCCAAAAAGGGGCAAAAAACACATTTTTCTAGTTTCCAGACAATAACTTGTGTTGACAAGTGTATGGATCTCTCTGAAATTGTACTGCAAGGTACCATACCACAAAGGGAAGGCTGGGATTGAGTTTGGGGGTGGTGAATCATGAGGGGGTTCAAAAAATTTGGGGGGGGGATTTTTTTTTTTCCTTTTTTTTTTCTTTTAAATTTTCCATTTTAAGTTGGTTATTTAATATTTTAATATTTAAAAGAAAATAATAATGATATGGTAGGAGATACACACCAAACAGGATGTGTAAATTATTATATAATAAGTATTGTGCAATAGCAAGAAATTTTCAATTGCACAGTATTGCACAATAGCAATAAATCTTCAATTGCACAGTATTGCACAATAGCAAGAAATATCCAATAGCACAATATTGCGCAATAGCAAGAAATTGTCAATAGTACAGTATTGCGCAATAGCAAGAAATATTTAATTGCACAGTATTGTGCAAAAGAAGATACTTCGTATAAATTGCTTATTTCTTGACCAATTTCAATGGGATTTTATTCTTGAATTCTTGGGGTTCTTTAATATGCTGAATCTAACCGTGTATCTAGTTTTTGGAATTTGGGCCCCTTTTTAAATTGGTCCACATTGAGGTCCAAAGGGTCCAAAATTAAACTTTGTTTGATTTCATCAAAAATTGAATTATTGGGGTTCTTTGATATGCCGAATCTAACCGTGTATTTAGATTCCTAATTTTTGGTTCCGTTTTCAAATTGGTCTACATTAAGGTCCTAAGGGTCCAAAATTAAACTTAGTTTGATTTTAACAAAAATTGAATTCTTAGGGTTCTTTGATATGCTGAATCTAAACATGTATTTAGATTTTTGATTATGGGCCCAGTTTTCAAGTTGGTCCAAATCGGGGTCCAAAATTAAACTTTGTTTGATTTCAACAAAAATTGAATATATGGGGTTCTTTGATATGCTGAATCTAACCATGTATTTAGATTTTTGATTTTTGGGCCCCTTTATCAACTTTGTCCACATTGAGGTCAAAAGGGTCCAAAATTAAACTTTGTTTGATTTCATCAAAAATTGAATTCTTGGGGTTCTTTGATATGCTGAATCTAACCATGTATTTAGATTTTGGATATTGGACCATAATAGGTGAATGTCCAATTTAAAATTTTTAAGTTCTTAGACCACATTCATTCTGTGTCAGAAACCTATGCTGTGTCAAATATTTAATCACAATCCAAATGCAAAGCTGTATCAAGCTTGAATGTTGTGTCCATACTTGCCCCAACTGTTCAGGGTTCGACCTCTGCGGTCGTATCAAGCTGCGCCCTGCGGAGCATATTATTACCCTTGTCCGTCTGTCCGTCCGTACATACGTCCCAAAGTTGGTTTCCGTTCTCTAACTTTAGGTTGCCTCAACCAAATGTTATGAAACTTATACACAATGCTTATTACCACTAAATACAGATCAAGTTTGAATTTTGGTGGTGTCACTTTTACCGTTCTAGAGTTATGCTCCTTTACAAATGAAAAAATTGCTAAATTTTTGTTTCCGTTCTCTAACTTAAGTTTGCCTCAACCAAATGGTATGAAACTTATACACAATGCTTATTACCACAATATACAGATCAAGTTTGAATTTTGGTGCCGTCACTTTTACTGTTCTAGAGTTATGTCCTTTACAAATGGAAAAATTTAACTATTTTTTTTTTCTAAATATCAAGTCATTTTTAAAATTGGAGTTATCTTCCTTTGTCCATGTTTATAGTTGAATCAACTACAATCAATGCTTTATACAATGCAATGTTTAATTTTGCCTTCCACTGATAAATTAAAGCAATTTTTACCCTTCATTTCTAAAAATATTTTAAAGTCTTCTTTGAAAATTGAAGTTATCTTTCTTTGTGCATAATGGTAGTTGAATCAACTACAACCAATGCTTTATACAATGCAATATTCAGTTTTACTTCCTACTGATAAATTAATTTGTTTCAGTTTTCTAACTTTAGTTTGCCTCAACCAAATGTTATGAAACTTATACACAATGCTTATTACTACATGATACAGATTAAGTACGAAATTTGGTGGCGACCCTTTTACCATTCTTGAGTTATGTCCCTTTATAAACATAAAAATTGCAGAATTTTTCGTTTCCGTTGTCTAACTTTAGTTTGTCTCAACCAAATGTTATAAAACTTATACACAACCGTTCTAGAGTTATGTGTGTTTACAAATAGAAAAATTACTGAATTTTAGTTTCTGTTCTCTACATAAGTTAACCTCAACCAAATGTTATGAGACTTATACACAATGCTAATTGCCACAAAACTCAGATCAAGTTCAAATTTGGTTAGCGTCACTTTTACCATTCTTCAGCTATGTCCCTTTATAACTATATGATGTCCAAGCGGGGGCATCATCTGTGTCCACATGTGGACACTATCCACATTTTTTTATTATTATTGAATTCCCTTAAAAAAAATTGAAAGTAAAACTCAGCAATAAAACTTCATATATATAATACCTTCTAAATGGTGGTTATTACCGTATTTTGTCTCATGGAGAATTGTATTTCCCACCTTTATATTCTTTAATTTTCAACTCAAGATATCTGATTTTGGTTTGTTTGTGTTGTTGGGTTACATTAATAATTTGCATTTTTTGGGTCTGCTTGTGTTAATGGGACATATTTACTCCACATCAATTTTGTCTGTATGTATTATAGAATGATTGATTTTATATATGTAGGTTGGATTGTGCAAAGAAGACTTATAGAGCCGAAGGATTCTTTGGAATGTACAGGGGTAAGTACTTCATGAGATGAGTTCAAAATTTCTTAATGATATAAGCATTATAATTTGAATTTCCATGCAGGCGTACAGTACAGTAGGTTATTCAGTTAAACATTGTTCTTGATGGTTTTGAGTGAATCAGTGTGAAGATGTAATCAATGAATGGTGATAACACTCTGATGTATGACTGTCATATATGACATATAAAATATGAGTTTTTTTATAGTGAATTGCTTACATTCACCATCATTCAATGCAAAGAATTCCAATTAAAAGAGTTTTTTTAACTGAAACACTTTGTTCAACATAAAAATATTTACTTTTTCCCGGTTTTTTTTTTGGCTCATCTGGGCCAGGATGATGATGATGAACTTTTGCCATCCATGTCTGTTGTCTGCCATAAACATTTTCAAAAATCTTCTCCTTCCAAATTACTGAACCAATTCAAACAAAACTTCACATGATTGTTCCTTAATAAAGTGTCTTGATTGTAGTTTTGAATTCAAATTTTTCCAATTTTATGCTATCTATGGAATAACAAGTGGAGATAACTGGACTTTCCCTGTAAGTCTATCTTTGATGAGTGGGAAGTGTTATAAAAAAGGGATTTAGATGTGTTTATAGCACCTGTAATCAACAAAATATTACTGGGTACAGTTTTGGATGTATTTGACAGTGTAAATGTATTAAGTTGTATTTAACCATTATTATATTTTAGGATGGGCAGTTAATACACTTCTAATTACTCCAGAGAAATGCATTAAGTTGGGTTTGAATGACCTGTTCTGCCATCATTTTGGAGGTAAAGAGTAAGTTTTCACTATTTTTTTAAAACCATGAAAGCTATCCCATCAATCAGTTTTTGTGGAGAGATATAATTTACTGACCTAGTTTTAATACATAAATGAATTTTGGGTGATTGTATAAAGTATTCTCATAATGAAAAATTTTGTTCTAGTCAGAGACGTACTTGCCTGTGTCATATATCAAAGACTTGAGATAATTTTTGGTATGAGCAGCTCTAAGTACAAATTTTGAAGTAAACATTTGGTTACCTATAGGTAAAATAAATGAGTTCAAATGGGTTGACATGTTTTTCTTCTTCATATAAGCTATCATTTTATTGAAATATCTCTATAAAAAATCATTTTATCAGTACTGCTTTTCAGTTATTAAAATAAGTTTTCATCATGGTAATCATCATGATCATGAAAAAAAGATGTGCTTGTTTTAAGCATCCATTTAATCATCTATCAGTATATCAGTAAAGGAATTTACATGTACTAGCAGAGGTGAAGTCAACATTTTACTTATTTTTTTGGGGGATACATTTATATTTCATAAGAACTTATTATTATTGCTTGAGAAACAAAATCTCTGTTTTGAGACAATTTTTAATACATTTTATTTGAATTTTTAGTGGTAGTCTACAATGGTATGGCCGTTTGAGTGCTGGTGGACTGGCTGGTGCCTGTCAGATTGTAGTTACTACACCCATGGAATTGTTAAAGATACAACTTCAAGATGCTGGCAGGAGTGGTAACTAATTTTTGTGTATTTCAATGTATTTTACATCTCAATTATGAACACTTTTTGTTTAGTTTAAGTATATTTCTGTAATACCTCTGCTCCAAAGGAAGGAGTTATACAGGTTTACTTCTGTCCCTCAGTCTGTTCTTTCATTTATCTTTTTCTCTGCAATACATTTCTTTCAAATCTTTCTATGCCACTACAACTAGGTATAGAGTCATACCACAAGAAGTTTTATATTTATTACATTGAATTTTTTTTTAGTCCTTTTTTTATGGAAGTTGTAGCCCTAGGACAAAGGAAATTGTTTGAAAGTATCTGTTTCAACATATTTTTACTCTGTGATGCATGGATCATAATTGATTAGGTATTTTTGATTTATTGTTGATTCATTTGTTTTCGTGGTCACTAATTTTTATAGATTGAGGAAAACTTACATTTTTGTAGATATTTGATTTCCTGGTTTTTTGAAAGTCTGCATACATTCCTATTGAAAATTTGTAATTCTTTGAACATTTAAATTTATGGTTCACCTGTAACCACAAAATCCATGACAATTGGTATCCAATGGACAATGATGAATCCACAGTGGTCATATCAAAAGAATTTAAAGTTGTTGCCCCAGATATAGAGAACTGCTTTAAAATATCAGTTTTCCTAACTTTTTCTGTAATACCTGAATCAGTTGATAAGATTTAGTATATAGCCATATCATAAGAAGAGACTGATTAATGTTGAGTTGAGTTTCATTCTGGTTGGTTGATTTTTTGTGGTTCTTTCATATAGAAAATTCTTGAAAATATTGGTTTCAAAAAAAAAAAAATGCTTTATTTTTCTGATGATTGGAGGGATGGTAGTTGTTAAAAAACAAATTCACATCTTCAACTAAATATTCTAAACTTATTGATGAAAAAAAAAAGATTTCCATCTACATACGCTCTCCGAATTTGAATTGAAAATTCACAAAACCTCTCTTACTAAGGTAAAGGTGTGTCCTGTATTAGTGTAACCTCATTCAATGTTCCTTCCAGTAAGGGACATTGCATTGCTTGTTTTTATTACTGTTTTAGATGATGTATTTGAGCTATCCCTGTAGCAGTATATAAGTAGATACAAATGAAATATTAACATGAAATTGTACAGTGGTATTCTCCACGTTTTAAGGTATAGTACTGAAAAGGCCACCAAGGTCTTTAAGACGAAAAATTAAACTATAACATTGTGATGTAATATTTGTGAACGCTTGTTTTTCATGTGAACAATTATTTGAAATAAAAGTGCATAACATACAGACTACAGTATTTCACTTAAATCTATATAATAAGACCTTTTTCACTTGTTCTTTTCTTTTTGTATCCGAAATACATATCCTTAAATTTGTTTTTTCATACACTGTTAATATACACAAGAGAGTCAATTAATTGTTAGATAAGTCAGTATAAGTGTGAAATAAACATTTGAAAATCTGAACTATGAATTCCAAGAATAGTTTTTAAAAGAACAAAATCTGATTTCATTATTTGCTGTTTACACCACTTTGTTAAAAGTAAAATAATAACCATCTCTATTGCAATGACATGCTATGTAATGTTTATGTTTTATTTATTTTAGGAGTAACATTAAATGCAGATGGTACAGTGGTCAAGAAGACTGCATTGGGAATCAGTAAACAGTTGTATGCTGAGCGTGGATTCTTGGGACTTTATAAAGGCTTTAGACCTACCTTCTTGAGAGATGTTATATTTTCAACTGTTTACTTCCCCTTAGTTGCTTATTTAAATGATTGGGTAAGGCTCAATTTCATTACATTTTTGAAAATATCAGTTTTATTCAGTACACTCACCACAGTCAAATAGGTTATGGTGAAAGTCTTTTAAATCACCTTGTCTATAAGGTGATATTTTAAAGCTGACTAGAGGAATCGCTATTTAAAATTTGGACAAATCACAATCTATGTTAAAGTTAAATACTAAATTAATTACCGCAAAATCTAGTTATTGGATTTGTTATATAATTTACCCAGGTTATTATCTGTTATAAAAACTTGAGTCTTTTAATCAAAAACAACTCTATTGTGTTATTTAAAGCAGTCATATATTATGTATATCTCTATTAAGATCTTTCTAAATGCAGAATGTGAATGCTACTGTCAAATTTCAGAAATTATTACGTGCATTTATTGTTGCGATTTCAACATGACAGACTAAAATTTGAGAATAATCATTGTGATTACAGATAAAACTGCATACAAATATATGTAACAGATTTCAGAATTTATAAATGCAAAACTCACCCAGTCACATTATTCGCAATAATAAAAACCTCATAATAATTTCAGAATTTACAGTATTAAATATTAGTATTGCAGTGGAGAATAATTTTTTATCAGACTATGGGTCAAGTATAATGTAAGGGTATATGACATAGTCAAACCAAAAAATAGCATTACAGAAAAAAAATGAACCTGAGATATGGATGTTAAAATTTACTGTAATTGATTTATATAAGTATATTTTAATTGTAATTTAAAATAATTTTTATACATTGGGAAGACAAGAGAAAATGAGCACCAGCTATTGTCATGAAAAGAAACAAGAATAAGATATTGATCTGAAGACAAAAGTTAACATAAAAATACTTTCAAAGGATTTTTTTTAAAAGTTCTTTATTTTCTAGACAATGGCTTTTCTTTACTTTTTCATCAGTTGCTACTATAAATTGTACAGATTTCAGTTGTAAATAAGTTAAGACTTAATTTCAGTATATATTTTTGTTTCAGATCATCAAGATGTTGGTAAGTATACCTGATCATTTTTATGTACATTTTTTGAGATACGATTTTAAAAATAAGTCTGAAATCAAAATGTACAGTGTTAAATAAAGGTGTTCTGTGGATCTGAATTTTGCCTCCTTTCTAATCCTAGAAAAAAATCACCTGATTTTTCAAAACTAGGATTACTAATTTTTATTTGAAGTTATGTAAGTATGAAATATAGATAAAATAATGACAAAAGTATTTTTCGTCTATAAAAAATGTTGAAATTTAAATGATAAATGTAGTAATGTAACATATGATTCTGGCACATGAAAATCTATTTTTTTGGGGATTTTTTTTTATGTTTCCATGGAATAACTTTAATAATGACCTTGAATTGATGCTGTTTTGTAGTATTTCCTGAAATTCTGAAACTATAAAATCCTTTTCACTTATATCTGCTATTACAGATATTTCCAAAAATATGGATCAGGTCAAGCTTTTGACTTTTATTAAGTTCGAAAATAAGTGAAGTTAATTTAGCATTGGTAAACATTAAAGACATAAATTAAAATTATGATAAGGTCTCAGATTTCAGATTTTAAACTACATGTATTATGGCATTGAGCATCACTAAAAAGAAATTAATCATTGAAATGGACATTTGGTGTAGTAAAATTGGTACTGATCAATGTTAATATATATCAAAGTGACAAAAGACTCCATATTGTTAGTTGTCATTTTGTGCTTTTAGTTCTTTTGACTAGAATGTGTATTCTTGTACACTTTTTAAACAATGTAAGTTGCTGTGTTTTAACAATTCACAATCTCAACTAAATTTTTTCTTAAAAAAAACTGAAAATGGCTCTTGATCTATAAAGGAGTCTTGCAGTGATGAAGATTTGGTTTTAAATCCTGATCAGAGAATGATCCAATATGTACCAAATTAATAGTCCTTTTTAGCTCACCTGGCCCGAAGGGCCAAGTGAGCTTTTCTCATCACTTGGCGTCCGTCGTCCGTCGTCCGGCGTCGTCCGTCGTCGGCGTTAACTTTTTACATTTTGAACTTCTTCTAGAGAACCACTGAATGGAATGAAACCAAACATGGCATGAATGTTCCTTATGAGGTGCTCACCAAGTGTTGTTACTTTGTAGCTGATCCATCATCCAAGATGGCCGCCAGCGGGGGACTTAGTTTAACATAGGACCCTATGGGAAATGCATACAATTGACTTCTTTTAGAGAACCACTGAATGGAATGAAACCAAACATGACATGAATGTTCCTTATGAGGTGCTAACCAAGTGTTGTTACTTTGTAGCCGATCCATCATCCAAGATGGCCGCCAGCGGGGGACTTATTTTAACATAGGACCCTATGGGAAATGCGTACAAATGACTTCTTTTAGAGAACCACTGAATGGAATAAAACCAAACATGGCATGAATGTTCCTTATGAGGTGCTGACCATGTGTTGTTACTTTGTAGCCGATCCATCATCCAAGATGGCCGCCATCGGGGAACTTAGTTTAACATAGGACCCTATGGGAAATACATACAAATGTCTTCTTTTAGAGAACCACTGAATGGAATGAAACCAAACATGACATGAATGTTCCTTATGAGGTGCTGACCAAGTGTTGTTACTTTGTAGCCGATCCATCATCCCAGATGGCCGCCAGCGGGGGACTTAGTTTAACATAGGACCCTATGGGAAATACATAAAAATGTCTTCTTTTAGAGAACCACTGAATGGAATGGAACCAAACATGGCATGAATGTTCCTTATGAGATGCTGATCAAGTGTTGTTACTTTGTAGCCGATCCATCATCCAAGATGGCCGCCAGCGGGGGAATTATTTTAACATAGGACCCTATGGGAAATGCGTACAAATGACTTCTTTTAGAGAACCACTGAATGGAATAAAACCAAACATGGCATGAATGTTCCTTATGAGGTGCTGACCATGTGTTGTTACTTTGTAGCCGATCCATCATCCAAGATGGCCGCCATCGGGGAACTTAGTTTAACATAGGACCCTATGGGAAATACATACAAATGTCTTCTTTTAGAGAACCACTGAATGGAATGAAACCAAACATGACATGAATGTTCCTTATGAGGTGCTGACCAAGTGTTGTTACTTTGTAGCCGATCCATCATCCCAGATGGCCGCCAGCGGGGGACTTAGTTTAACATAGGACCCTATGGGAAATACATAAAAATGTCTTCTTTTAGAGAACCACTGAATGGAATGGAACCAAACATGGCATGAATGTTCCTTATGAGGTGCTGATCAAGTGTTGTTACTTTGCAGTCGGTCCATCATCCAAGATGGCCGCCAGCAGGGGACTTAGTTTAACATAGGACCCTATGGGAAATACATACAAATGTCTTCTTTTAGAGAACCACTGAATGGAATGAAACCAAACATGGCATGAATGTTCCTTATGAGGTGCTGACCAAGTGTTGTTACTTTGTAGCCGATCCATCATCCAAGATGGCCGCCAGCGGGGGACTTAGTTTAACATAGGACCCTATGGGAAATACATACAAATGTCTTCTTATAGAGAACCACTGAATGGAATGAAACCAAACATGGCATGAATGTTCCTTATGAGGTGCTGACCAAGTGTTGTTACTTTGCAGTCGGTCCATCATCCAAGATGGCCGACAGCAGGGGATTTAGTTTAACAAAGGACCTATGGGAAATACATACAAATGTCTTCTTTTAGCGAACCACTGAATGGAATGAAACCAAACATGGCATGAATGTTCCTTATGAGGTGCTCACCAAGTGTTGTTACTTTGTAGCCGATCCATCATCCAAGATGGCCGCCAGCGGGGAACTTAGTTTAACATAGGACCCTATGGGAAATACATAAAAATGTCTTCTTTTAGAGAACCACTGAATGGAATGGAACCAAACATGGCATGAATGTTCCTTATGAGATGCTGATCAAGTGTTGTTACTTTGCAGTCGGTCCATCATCCAAGATGGCCGCCAACAGGGGACTTAGTTTAACATAGGACCCTATGGGAAATACATACAAATGTCTTCTTATAGAGAACCACTGAATGGAATGAAACCAAACATGGCATGAATGTTCCTTATGAGGTGCTGACCAAGTGTTGTTACTTTGCAGTCGGTCCATCATCTAAGATGGCCGACAGCAGGGGACTTAGTTTAACAAAGGACCTATGGGAAATACATACAAATGTCTTCTTTTAGCGAACCACTGAATGGAATGAAACCAAACATGGCATGAATGTTCCTTATGAGGTGCTCACCAAGTGTTGTTACTTTGTAGCCGATCCATCATCCAAGATGGCCGCCAGCGGGGAACTTAGTTTAACATAGGACCCTATGGGAAATACATAAAAATGTCTTCTTTTAGAGAACCACTGAATGGAATGGAACCAAACATGGCATGAATGTTCCTTATGAGATGCTGATCAAGTGTTGTTACTTTGCAGTCGGTCCATCATCCAAGATGGCCGCCAACAGGGGACTTAGTTTAACATAGGACCCTATGGGAAATACATACAAATGTCTTCTTTTAGAGAACCACTGAATGGAATGAAACCAAACATGGCATGAATGTCCCTTATGAGGTTCTGACCAAGTGTTGTTACTTTGTAGCCGATCCATCATCCAAGATGGCCGCCAGCGGGGGACTTAGTTTAACATAGGACCCTATGGGAAATACATACAAATGTCTTCTTTTAGAGAACCACTGAATGGAATGAAACCAAACATGGCATGAATGTTCCTTATGAGGTGCTGACCAAGTGTTGTTACTTTGCAGTCGGTCCATCATCCAAGATGGCCGACAGCAGGGGACTTAGTTTAACAAAGGACCTATGGGAAATACATACAAATGTCTTCTTTTAGCGAACCACTGAATGGAATGAAACCAAACATGGCATGAATGTTCCTTTTGAGGTACTGACCAAGTGTTGTTACTTTGCAGTCGGTCTATCATCCAAGATGGCCGACAGCAGGGGACTTAGTTTAACAAAGGACCTATGGGAAATACATACAATTGTCTTCTTTTAGAAAACCACTGAATGGAATTGAACCAAACATGGCATGAATGTTCCTTATGAGTTGCTGACCAAGTGTTGTTACTTTGCAGTCGATCCATCATCCAAGATGGCCGCTAGGGGGGGGGGGCCTTAGTTTAACATAGGACCCTATGGGAAATACATACAAATGTCTTCTTTTAGAGTAGCACTGAATGGAATGAAACCAAACATGGCATGAATGTTCCTTATGAAGTGCTGACCAAGTGTTGCTACTTTGTTGCAGATTTACTGTTCAAGATGGCCACCAGGATATTTTATTAAATAACGGGACCAATATTAATCAAAATTTGGCCTCAATCATTATTTGGGTATCTGTTATGATTTTTATCTATCTTTACATGATTTCTAAAACCAAAGTAGAGTCAGGTGAGCGACACAGGCTCTTGAGAGCCTCTAGTTTCATTATTTAAATAGATGCTTTGTAAAATATGAAAGAAAGGGAGACAACTCACAAATGTTGCATCAATAGTGCACATTATTTGATACCTAAAAAAACAAATAGTAAAATTAGTTACTTTTTGTCTGGAAGAACAATCTAAAACACCAAAACTGCATGGCTCACTTAATATTAGGTTTTTTTTAATATACTCAAAGACATATGAAAATTGACAAAATTTTACAGAGACTAGTGCTAACTTTTGTTTAGTGTTTTTATCTTGACACAAACGGCCAGTTCATTTATAAATAATATTACAGTCAATTAGATATAAATTTATTTTGTACTGATACTAAAACTGCTATCAATGTTACATTTTCAGACAACCTGACTTAATTTAATTTAATTTTTTTTGTCGCTTCATTGCTTTGAGCTTGTAATAAGACAAGTTTGCATTGATAAGACCTTATCAGTTTTTTTGGTGCATCTTCATTAAGATTAGCTGCCTTTTCTTCATTTTAGGGCTTTGGACTTTTACAGGTTATGGGAATTTGTGCATTATAAAATGGATTTT